ATTAAGGACAAAAGTCACTTTTTACGCGGCTGACATGATTTTATATTCGACACGAACAGTAGCTCCAGAGTCTTTCGCGAATATTCGTTAAGCACGGTACTGATTAGATTGACTGATTTTAATTTGCAAAACAATTGCATAATAATTAATTACTATATTCAATCTTAAAAACTAATTTTAAATAAAAAAATAATAAAAAAAATCACCTTTTTTTTTAAATTTCGAATTTCTGTAATTGAGTTTTTTATTTATTTTATTTGGCCAACGCAATCGCTGCATAAAGTTTCGGAAACTCCGGTTATTAAAAACAAAACATTTATTATTATTTTGTTATTGTTGCGTTTTTTTTTACTGTTGATTTACTAATAAATAGTTGTTACTTAATTAAAACACAAAAATATTTAGATTTTTGTGTTTCAGTCCGGTAAAAACTTAATATTATTGATCCATTATACCTAATAACGTGTAGATGTATTGTACCGACATGTAGCAAGCATTAAACACTGTCAACGATCCAGGGTTAAGGAGTATAATAATTGAATTAATTGATGAATTATTCTTTTAATTTAAGTGAGTGTAATTATATAATCGATCATTAAAAAAAGGAAATAGTGATGGTGCTCAAAAGTGTGGGTTTTGATAATTATTTGTACAAAAAGATATCCGAGGACCATATTCGAAACAAGTAAGTAGTAGTCGTTTATCTTTAAGTACTCTTTAATATATATTCAGATAAGAGGTCCTTTCGCAAAAGAAATATAAATAATAGTTTAAAAAAACTAAAAATATAATATCCTGAATTTTATTGTAAAAAAAGCGTGAGCCCATTCTTTTCTACAATAAAATCATATTTTCTTACACTTTTTTTAATTCAAATTTATAAAAAAAATTTTTCAATTTTTTTGTTGGATTTTCTATAAATACGTATTTTTTTAAACTATTTTTTTTTCATTTTTTAGTTTATATACAAATTTTCCATTATTTTTTCTATTTTTCAAAAATTTCATCTGAATCAGTCAGTAACTTATCCGAGAAATAGGTGATCGGCGCGCCTGGTAGTTTCCCTTCTTGGTCTTGCCGCAGACACGCCGGGTCTCAGGAAAACAAAAAATCGCCAATACTGATTATCCTAATAAGGATAACGGATCAAACTGTTTAAAATATTGAATTGTCATCGCTCCTTAATAAGTATGCCAAATTTCGAGTTAATCCGACGTTCTGAAGGGGTCAAAATCATGTTCAAAGAATTCGTTACATACTAACATACGTATGAAGCTAATAAAAGCGTATTAAAAAAACGATTTAAACTCTCAATAATGATTAGATAAGTATTGAACTTAGCATTCAACCGATTTCAATCTATGAATATAATTCTGGTCGTGAATTAAGACAAACGTATGTTTTTAAGAAAGATTTACTCAATATTCGCAGTAATAAATTTCGAGCAAAGTTTGAAGTTTTTAACGTGATATGAAATTTGAGAGTCACAGCGAACTTCTGCGATAAATCAGATTTAAATTATTTTTCACAACACTGTACATGAAGTAAAATAATTTTTCATGCTAAAAATATCATAGTAGCGTTGACGTTCGATAAAGTATTATTTCCTTCAATGATAATATCCTTCAGTTGGACTACGTCACGTCATTACGGATCCTCCCGATCAATTAACGGTGCTTTTAGGTACCACAAGCACCGGTCACCGTCCTCGTCGAACCCGTCGCGTCGCTTGCGACGAAGAGCTCGACGAGCGAATTAACCCATAGACACAGCCCACTGAGTTTCTCGCCGGATCTTCTCAGTGGATCGCGTTTTCGATCCGGTGGTAGATTCTGCGAAGCACTGCTCTTGCTAGGGTTCGTGTTAGCATCACTCCAGTTTGAGCCCCGTGAGCTCACCTACTAGCTAAGGTTACGCTGAAATAGCCTCTCAAGGCTATTATTAGCTTAGGTAGGAAAAAAATTGACTACGAATCATCCAGGAAATTTGCTCAGTGCTCGGAGACTAGGTGAACCAGGATTGAGGACTCCTCTTCTCTGAGGTACTGACCGAGCGGACGCTTCAAGAAGTATCTACAGCTGAGCTGACAGCATAATTGTGGCTACAGCTTGGGTGCGTCTGTTTTTGAAGGATATAGGAAATGAACACGGAAATCAGTTCTTATAACAAACGCACTCCGGAGCGTAGACTTATGTTGTTAGCGTCTGGTTTGTTCGACTGAGGTCCGCTCGGCTCATCTATACGCAAAGATATTTTACAGTTTGGATTTCACAGTAGAAGACATCTATCGAAAATGCGATTTTATACAATAAAAAAGTATTTAGTAAAACTTTGTATAGTAACCCCATCACGTGACATTAAGGTATGATTTTGTAACAATCTAATATAACCATAGTGATTTAGGTAAATTAGATTTGGTCTTCTGGGAAAATACATAATAAATAAATAATAAATAAAAATACATACCTTAACTATATATTTAATGCAATTACAAGAACTGCTTGTGATAAATACCTGGTGACTTTTAATTTCGCATTCGACATGAATATTTCGAATCGTCTACGGGTTCTTGAATTGTCAACGTCCTTGTTTAAAACGATTATTTAAGATTACGGCTCGGTTAATGAAATGGAGATTCTAAAACTTAATTCGTGCACAGATATTTGATTAAGAAGCGGGCAGCTTTTGATCACGATTCGCGGTTAATACTGTTAGGCTTGAATATTAATTTTATTCACGCTCCGGTTCTGAAGCTGCTTTTCACTGTTGTCTATTGTACGAAAACATAGTTTAATTATTATTAACCACTGACAATAAAGTAATATCTATCTAAATATTTAAAAATGAATTGCTGTTCGTTAGTCTCACTAAAACTAGAGAACGGCTGGACCGATTTGGCTAATTTTGGTCTTGAATTATTTGTGGAAGTCCAGAGAAGGTTTAAAAGGTAGATAAATATGAAAATGTTCGAAATGGAATAAAAATAACAATTTTGTTTTTTTCCTTTGACGTGTCCCCCGTCGGACGGATTCCTTTTGTTTGACTTAAGTTTATTTTATACAAAAGCTTAGGTCCTTTATTTATCGATTGAGGCACTACGAAGTCTGCCGGGTCAGCTAGTATACAATAAATAATCTAAAGAAATAATTAAATAATGTTATGAAATTTTATTAGGTATTATTTCACTTAAACTAATCCATACGAGGAATGATAGGAACAAAAAACTGATATCTAAATAATTCCAATAGAAATCGATAATTAATTTCGTTTTATGCGAGTCCCTAGTTTGTTTGTATATCGTGTTATATCCCTCTCGATTTTGTTGGAATCTCATTTTCAACGAAAGAGAGTTTTTTAATATTAACATAGCCCGGCGCAAACCCAACTCAATCTCAATAGTTAGTCGGTTTTGTCAAATTTACTCTTTGCCTCAGATAAGTGATTCAATTTACGTTCGCTCCAAATTACATTTCCAAGTAAACCGGAGACCGTAATTTAAACTATAAAAGTTAAATCCTTATTTTTCCAAGTAAAACTCGGATTGAATCTTTGCCGACGCTGGCAAAAGTTTCCTAGATCTGTAACTTTATTTATCGACTGAACTTTTCCATAATAATATAACAGCGAGCTTGGTCTATTTTTGGTTTTCCTTAACCGCATCTGAAATCACATAATGTAATCTGTAAACTTTATGGAAATGAGAAAAGATAAATCGTTTCCTTAGCAATAGATTGCGGATTGGCTTTTACCTAGTATTGCTGATGTTCATAAGGACTCTATTTACCGTCCATTGGGAAGTTAGCTTGTCAATCTGATCGGTTGACATCTTAACAGTGTGCATTCAATGGTTATGTTTTCCAAACCAATGTTTAATAGGCTCTTATTTCCACACTGTAATAAAACTTATACAAGTAGTGTTTGGGAATGAAAAATAGAAAATCGTCATAAAGGTTGAAATATCGGGCTATTATTTGCGATCAAATGAGTTGGGATCCTTGTGAAAAACAATAATTATAATACTACAAACAAAATATAGTATTAGTTGACTTGGTGTTAACAATAAAACTTCTAAAAGGTGCATTAACGTCCGTCTGGTGTAGTGGTAAGTGACATGGTCACTACACTAGGAGGTCGCGGGTTCGAATCCCGCTAAGGGAAGATATTTGTATGATAAATATAAATGTATTTTCCAGGGTTATGGATGTATATTAAATATATGTATGTGTATAATAAAAATCTTACATTTGTTTCCGATATCTGGTACCTGTAACACAAGTTCTTTACGAACTTATCACGGGACCAGTTAACGTGGCGTGATTGTTAGTAAATATTTAATTTAATATTTATTTATTCGTATCCAGCGATGTATCAGTATTCGAATCCCGCAGGCGGATACCAATTTTTGTAATGAAATACGTACGTAACAAATGTTGAGGATTGACTTCCACGGTGATAAAATTAAAATTTGCGTAATTACTGGTGGTAGGACCTCTTGTGAGTCCGCACGGGTAGGTACCACCACCCTGCCTATTTCTGCCGTGAAGCACTAATGTGACCTTACAACTATATCTCAAGGTAGGTGGCGGCATTTACGTTGTAGATGTCTATGGGCTCCGGTAACCGCTTAACACCAGGTGGGCCGTGAGCTCGTCCATCCAACTAAGCAATAAAAAATATATGTAGGAATGATGATGAACCACTGATTGGAAAAGCAGGCATTTCATGTTTCATCAAAAAATTTCGAACTGTGGTAACGTAAGCGCAGGGAATTAATTACCAACTTTGAGGTGATGCTGATTCGTAGACACAAATATATTTTTATCCACGGATTAGAGGAGTATTTTACTATACAATATAATAATTATAATATACAATTTTACACTGTGATCATTTAATTTCATGTATATTCAAAATATTTTGTAGAAAATCTGAAAAAAATTCCTGACATCCAATTTGACAATTTGTCCAATTGTACAAATTTCCTGTTGCCCACAGACCTTGGAATATGGAGACGAGAGCTGATGATGAGGAAGCCCCGACCGACCCAGCAGCCAGGAAACAAACTTATCACGATTACACAGAGCAAGATTTTGAAGGTAAGCTTCATATGCTGGATGGTGCTATATATATTTTTGCAGAAACCAAAGCACCTATTTTCTTCTTTATATTTTCATAGGTTTTTCCAGTCGTGGGCTCAAAAACCTGACGATGTTGCCAAAACGAACCCTACCAAGAGCCGTGCTTACGAAGGGCTCGGCGAGTAAATTAACCCACAGACACAGCCCACTGAGCTTCTCGCCGGATCTTCTCAGTGGTCACGTTTCCGATCCGGCGGTAGATTCTGCGAAGCACAGCTCTTGCTAGGGTTCATGTTAGCAACATCGTCAGATTTGAGCCCCGCGAGCTCAAATACTAGTAAAGGTTACGCTTATATGGTATCTCTAGACACTCATTTAGGTAGGAAAAAAAAAGTCATAATTAAAATTACTTTTGTCTACTGTTACTTCAGTCGTGCAATTTTTTTTTATAGCCCGTCTAGGTGGATGAGCTCACAGCCCACCTGGTACAACGTAAATGCGCCACCCACCTTGAGATATAAGTTCCAAGGTGCCAAATATAGTTGCAACGGCTGCCCCACTCTTCAAACCGAAACGTATTACTGCTTATTATATATATAAAAAGTATATTATTATATATATAAAAAACGTTTCTCATGCCTCATCACAAGTAAATACTTTTTTGTGTGTTTGCTTTTTATTATTCCTCCATTACTGCTACTCTGGAAGTCACGGGAACATGTACGGAATTGGTACCTTGACTGCGCCTGAACTGCCTGAAGACTTAACTAGGGCATATGTCGCGTTACGCAGAAAAGATCACACCTAAAAAAAATGTTTGAAATTTTCAATTTAACAATTTCCTAAGCTCCAATGGTCCGGCTCCTATTAAGCAAGTACTCTATTAACGAAATCTTGTTTTGCATTAACATTCAGCCGACAACGTTTGGAACAATCGAAGCATTTATAAGGATTCCTTTTAAATGGAAATATAATAATATATTGTATGTACCAGCGCTGGTTTCGATGCGAGTCACGTCTTGAGGGGAAATGATTGTGGACGCTTTATACCTGTGATATTTTTTGAAGTCTAAATCTAGAGAATTAGGAGGAAAATTGTAATTAAATTTGCTGTTTTATAGTGAAATGTATTTTATCGGACTGTGTTTGGGCTTATTTTTTATTATCGCAACTAAACTACTTTCGTCTTTTATTTACAGTTGCATCAATGTTTTTTAATCAACAAATCTAATAACAAGATTTATTTAGAGTTCAATATTGGTTAGCGTGCTTTTTAAGGTTTGCTTACTCTTTTATTGCATAGATACGTGAACGAGCTTACATCCCACCCGATGTAAAGTGGTTACCAGAACCTACAGAGATCACATGAGAAACACGAGCCCGAAGTCTCAAAAGCAAACAAACTACAGTACGTTTATAAAAGTTTCAGGGAGCTTTTTTTTTTTTTATTGCTTAGATGGGTGGACGATCTCACAGCCCACTTGGTGGTAAGTGATTACTGGAGCCCATAGACATTTACAACGTAAATGCGCCACCCACCTTGAGATATAAGTTCTAAGGTCTCAAGTATAGTTACAACGGCTGCCCTAGCCTTCAAGCCGAAACGCATTATTGCTTCACGGTAGAAATAGGCAGGGTGGTGGTAACTACCCGCGCGGACTCTTAATAGGTCCTACCACCAGTAAAATTTTAATTCTTGTGTAGAATTTTAATCATAAGCATTGTTCTCATTTTCTCATTAAATGAATGCGACCCGATAGACCTCACGTTTCCATTTCCGCCTCGATCAAACTGTCACTGAATTACCTAGCGTCGTGGAGGGAACGGTTCGAACTGCAACATAATTAGGTCAGGGGGACGGCACTAGGTTCGTTCGAGACTTATCGATATTTTAATTCTATCAATTACTCGATAAATGAGATTCGCTCGCGTCATTCAGTGCCGCTACAATTAGAACACAGAGCTGGAATTATGGTATATAAAAGCTTTTCAGTTTATGTTTTTCATCAATTAAGCTTTCGATATGAGTTGTTCACGACTTTCGCTATCAAATTAACAAGACATACAGGTGATAGAGCATATTGTGATTCCACGCTGCTCGATTACATTCCTCATTGACGATAACATAGAAGCATGCTATTTCTTGAGATGGGTGTCCGTATTCACTTCGTAGTTTGCGGATTCTGGAACCATTCGGAATGGAGACGCGACAGCATCCGAAATGCATCCACATGAAGGTCTCTAGATATAGTGAGCATGCGTCGTATACAGGGACTATCTGTATTTAGCCTTAAAAGACTGATGCATTCAACCAATATCGAGTGGGTTGAGTGGGGTGAGAAGAGCATGCATACAAATTTTTTTTAAACAATATGAATTTAAAATTCTTCATCGAAAGATTTGACATTTTTTTTTTTTTATGAATGAAAGATTACTGGTGGCCCGGAGGCCTTTCCAGTTTCACCATTTGACTAAGGATTGTGTTCAAAAAAAACAAAACATTATGAGACTCGACATATTTTAACATAGACTTAATTGAAAAACATATAGTAGTTTAAGGATAGCTTACTACAGGATACTTTAGTCATAATGGTTCACGTCGAAAGTCCTTTGAATGCTTTACTTAAACAGACCATTTTATGTTGTCTAAATAAACTATTAAGCGAAAGTAGTTCTTATTACATCCGGATAGCAAAGAAAAACCATTCTCAATTCATATCGCAAGACTAGTTCAAGGTCAAACGCGTCACTTGCCATTTTTTCGTTTGTTTGTCTATACTAATATTATAAAGAGGAAAGATTTGTTTGTTTGTTTGTTTCGAATAGGCTCCGAAACTACTGGACCGATTTGAAAAATTCTTTTTCCATTAGAAGCCGACATTGTCCCTGATGAACATAGGCTACTTTTTTTTTTTTTTTTTTTTGGTTTCATGTGTGTTTTAATGTTTCCGAAGCGAAGCGAGGGCGGGTCGCTAATTTACAATAATCTTGAGCTACGGTAATTGTGTGGAGTTACTGTTAAGTGCAGCTCATTGACAATGTCAAGAAATAATTTCAAGTGCTGTTCTTAACTCAAATAATTAAACACTTAATTTCTTTGAAGAATGCAATGAATCGATTATGACATAATATCGATCGTTTTAAATCATTCAAATGAACTAGTTCGAAATAGTTCGAATCAAATTAGTGTATCACATTGTATTGTATTATTAATTTTTGATATGACGTCAACTGCTGAGGAGAGAGAAATAATTGTATCGATATGTGGACAATTCTCAAAAAATCAACCCTAGTATCTCGTGCAAAAACTAGAACAGTAGATTGTTCAATATTTATATTTGAACGAGATTATTTGTCCTATTCATTATTTACTTACGATCTAACTGAGAGAATAATATCGCTAAAACACTGCTAAGTAATAGTAAGTAAGAACAGGGCGTAAAAAAAGAGGATGTACTACAGTAGAATCCTCTGAAGAAAAAAGAATTTTTTTCTACACTAACAATAGGTATAACAAAACATTGATCGTATTACATAGCAAAATGATTAAGTCATTTTACCGACAGTCGACCGTATCAGAACGTATCCTCACATCGTAAATGATGTCTAAATTTACAAGAATTCTAGACACAGAAAAGTAGTGTTCACAATATCCATCACAAAAAATCAATCAATAAATTTGAATTCACCTAAACTATGTAGCTTATAGACAATTGTAGACAACTCACTTCGGATTTTCATAAAAACCACATTTTTTGCATTTACCTATCTATGTACAAGTCACAAAGCTTTTAATTATAAAGTTTTTAATGGAACCACGAAATTAGACGGCGATATATTAATAATGCATGCTGTTAGAATCGACTTCATTCCAACATATTTATGTATATTTTTTTTTTGTTCTTCGGAAGGAAAATGAAAATTCGGTAAGTCTGCGTGTAAAATATTCGCCACCGGAAAATAATTTTATTTCATTACATAAAATGTACGTTCATTGGATCCAATAGTGATAAAGGGATTCACTAGAATATTCCAAAAGTACCGCTTACATCATCGATAAATCATACATCACATCCGGTACACCATCATGATCAGGTCACGTTGTTTCACTGCTGAATATAGGCCACTCTCTTAATATTCGCAATCGAACCTAGTTTTTAACTCGGGTTATCCACGTTCTGTCGGTTGTTTTTGTTTAATTTTTTTCATTCCATCGTAACAGTCAAGTTTAGAACTAAGTTTGTGATATAGATAATATTTTTAACAGAGAAACCGTGTCACTACGCTGTGACTATTTTTGAATTTTTTTCTGGCCCTTTTAGGCAGACGAGCATACGGCCCACCTGATGATGAGTGGTTAGTCCATGGACTTCAGCAATGCGCGGGGCAGAGCCAAGCCGCTGCCTACCGCTAGTTAAATGAAAAAATATCGTTTTCTTAAACGTCCTGCACATAACTTATTATGCTACCACAATAAAAACATTCAGTGCCAACAAAAAGTACCAAGACCAATTAAAAAAACAAATCTTAAATTTATATCAATAGATCGAAGATAGAATATGTAGATAGCAGACTTAAATTGCGAGTAAAACATTATCAAATTTAGTATAGCTTCCACTTAGTGATCGCGTAGTTTTCCGTTGAGGAAAAAAAAACGTATAAGTGTGTCGTTGAACAATTATGTATCGAAGTATTCTTTAAAAATAATTTCAGTGAAACGAGACTTTGTAGAGCGTTTTACGACAAAAGGGGCCACAGGCTTTTGACTTTCCTACCTGAAGGGACCAATAACAAAGTCAATAGCGCGCGTAATCTAGTTAACTATCCAGCGCTTTATTTAACATTTTGCCTACAATATTCATTTTGAGTAAGAGAAGTTTTTTAAATAATATAGTTTATTTTAAACCACTGAAGACCGATCACCATCCGCTGTGACCGTCGCCAATTATAAGTGTATGAACAGTCTAGTATTTTATTCAGTTTTCGCGAATACTAAACATTTTTAAATACTTTTACGG